TTCTTGAGCAGCTCTTAAAGGTGCTTTATTTTACGCACCTTTAATACATTATGGCTCAAGAATTACCCATTATTGAGCCTTTTATATATTATATTTTGTATTTACCACATTATAAACTACAACGTACGTGAAAATAAATTCATTTCCAATTTTTATCCCAAGAAGAATAATAAAGTCAAAATAATGTCAATTTGGCGTTATATTGACCTATTATGCACTGAATTTATGTTTTTTTTTTGTTCATGATTCGATCAATATAATAATTATTTTGACTTTCTTGTTCTTTTTGAGATAAATTAATATGCGGTCCTTTGAAAATAACACGCCCGCAGAATAGAAACTAACATTACAATACAATATTACATCAATATATATTTTCCTCTCAACAACACAAATGTAATATAATACATGTTGTACACAACAGTTATGTAGTTGTTGAGTAGGAAATTATAACATTCAAATTATGACATCGTGTTACTATATTAGTTGGTGTTCTACGGGCGAGATTGTTTGGACATATTTGGACTATATTTTCATTAACATTTTAAAGCGCAAACAAAATTTTAGCGTTTGCTAAAATTATTTGTAACAGAATATCACAATAATTAGAATGCTTACTTTTTCAGCAATGTGTTTCAATCGTCGCATCAACAATTTCTTAAAACGAATAACTGCTAAAAGAAAAAAATACAGAAATATTTGCGAGCAGAGTCCGCTCCTGCCGAATCGTAAGATCGCTACAATATAATTTATTATTACCGCCTCTGCAAAAATAAGTGAATTAAAAGGAATTGATATAATTTTATTTTGTAATATTATAAACTTTCTATCTTTAGAAGTCAGATAATGCTTTTAAATTCCTTCCTATTTTTATTAAAATGAACTTTTCTTTATCTTTCTTCCAGCAGTTGCATTATTACGATTTAAGTACGATTAAAGTACGGTCAACGCGATGCTACAAATGCTTTAAAGCGTTTTTTGATTGGTTAATTTGTAAAATTCTTTCTTCTGATTGGTCAATCAAACTCTTCAAAGCATTTGTGACGAGACTCTAACCACGGTCTTAATTCATGATTTAATGCATATCAATTTAAAACAAAATAAATATTGAAAATAAGCAAATTCTTGGAAGTTACAATCCTTGTCAATCCTTTTTAATCCACATATCTCTCTGCAGAGATTGCGTTCGATAATTATTCGTAAAAAATATAATCTCATACTTGACTATATCTATTTCATTCTAAAATAAATAGATTTCATCAAAGAAACGGAGATATCTGGATTTAGTTCGAGTGACCAAGATGAGTCAGGTATGTCTCACAAAGCACACACATAACACGTGTGTTATAATATTTAAGTGTAATCTGTACTTATGTATTTTGCAGTGTCTTTGTACAATCTTAATGCAGTGTATTTTTCCTTTTCCTTTAAAACGCATATATGTACACATGCATAATTCGAATGAACTTAAAGCCGATATAACACTTATGTTTAAAAATATATAAATTAATTAAATAATTATCAAATATTTTCAATATAAGCTAATTAAATATATAAATTAATTAAATGATTATCAAATATTTTCTCCAAAACTTTTCGTGTAAAATAGTTTCAAACAGCAAAACTTTGTTTAATTTACTAATGCCTTTGCGTAATGCAAAAATAATTAATTAAAATTACCTGGATAACTGTCAAATTTTATTAATTAGATATAAAAGTCTTCATATAAAATACAAACGATTTCTTTAGGAAATTATTTAAGAAATAATATAGAGTGTCGGCTAAATTCATCCGAAAATACACACGCACGTTAATACAGTATAGCTCTTATTTGATAGCACCATTTTAAATAGAATCATTTTTGTAATATAAAATACTTATCTGAAGAAATTAATTTATTTAGTTAAAAATCGATGGTTAGTATGAGTCTGAGATGCAATTGTGCATGCAACAAAAAAAATAAGATTCTGTTGTAGAAATAATACTATGATTAGGAATTCCAAATTAGGAATTCCAACATTGAAAGACTCGTATTAGCCAACGATCTGACATGTAACTATCCCAAATAGCCAAACTTGCCAAAAGCATGTATTGCAATCTGTGTATTACATATTATGTTAGTAGAACTCCAGCAACAGCCAAGCACAGTCTGCTGTTTTTTTAATATCCGTAGAAATGTATCAGAAAACAAGCAGGCTCTGCATTATGACATCATGATGGCAAGGTATGCTCCATTCCTGCTACATTTCTGTTGTTATATTATGGCAAGTCGTAATAGCAGAAATCAAGCTTAAAGAGGACACATCTTTGCGAAAATAAAAATCGAAGCGTTAAGTCGAATGTAGAAGAAGAGCGTGATAAAAAACGTAAACAGAGTTTCTGTGAGACAAAAATTCGACCAACAAAACGTAAAAAAAACTTGAACATCTCCTTTATATTTCGTTGTCTTAATTTTCGTCTTATAGAGGCTTTATTTACACTTCTGCTATTATTCCCTTACATTCGATTTAAGATCCAATTTTTATTTTTGACAAGACAGTGGATAGAAATCTGCTCTAAAAGTCTAAAATCATGATTAAATTTACCAGCAAATTCGACTTACAAATCTTTATTTTTGAAAAATCAATGGATATAGTTATCTACTCTAAAATCATGATCAAATTTGCTAGCAACTGTTGCATACTATTAGCGTTTGGCTATCTGGATATAGTTATAAAATATTTATATTATCTCTTTTCAGATGATATCGTCGACATTACAACCTGGCCGAGCTCTACATGCAAGAAGATATGGTGGGTTATTACTTGGCCAATCAATGTGGCATTACTCCTTACTATTCCCGATTGTAGAAGAAGAAAGCTAAGATCTTGGTATCCCTTTACATTCATCATGTGCGTAATATGGATTGGAAGTTCGTCTTATGTCATAGGATGGGTCATCACTATTATTGGTGCGTGCCATCGATGAAATATTTGTATTTAACATCCTATTATTGTTAGATAGCCAAGTTCGTCGAAAATAGAGTTTGCAAAGTACTGGGAGTTTTATTGGAAAAATACCATTAGCAATATAACAGAAATGTTGAGAAAATACAAGATAAATTAACCGTTGACATCAAACTGAATCTAGCCTTAATGATATATTTCATTGAAATAATCGTGAAATCATTGACTTCATTCGATTTTTGCTGATAGATAATCTATTGTTAGATATCTTATGTCAATTGACAGAAAGCAAAAACAATACGTGATGTTAATCTGCCACAATATTGTACACAAATCCGTTAACATTTTTGCTTACTAAGATTATTAACATTGCCAAGAAAAAAATTTTTTGTAAAACGCTGAAACAGTCACACTTTGTATGACGTTAACGTTACCATGTCAAAATAACATTTCGATTATGTTTGAAAATATCCTGTTTAAAATTTTATATTCTTCGGACATTTTTTTAGAATCTAATACTGTATATTTAATACAATCAATAACACCTGTTTCTACTTATGTTATATTTTAGGCGATACCTTCAGAATTCCTGACTCCATTATGGGTTTAACATTCCTCGCGGCAGGAATGAGTGTACCTGAAGCAGTATCGAGCGTTATCGTTGCTAATCAAGGTACAGTCAATATTAAACTTCTGAACAATAGATAGCAGTATTATCGCAACGACGCAAGAATTCATTTAATATGAATTTTTTTTATTTTTAAAATATATATACATACATCAAATATAGATGATTTTCCAGGTTACGGAGCTATGGGGATAAGTAATTCAATCGGGTCGAATGTGTTCGATGTCTTACTGTGTCTCGGATTACCATGGTTTGTTAAGGCTACACTATTACCAAAAGTACCTGGACAGTATTATATTCAGATTAATTCTCAAGGGCTAGTCTATAGCTCAGTATCTCTTTTCTCAACGTTAATTATGCTATACGGAGCTTTATTTATTAACAAATTCACGTTAAGCCGCACAGTTGGAATCGCCTGTCTCGTTATGTATGCCATATTTTTGATATTCTCATCTGTTGTAGAACTCAACACATTTTTCGTTGTTAATTTACCAGTATGTATCGACTAGCTATCTAGCGACTAATATCAGTGTCATTAACAAGTAGTTAGTAACGATATTTATACTCATTGATATCTATATAAATTTGTACGACATAAAATGAACTGTTACCTAATATGTTCGTAATAATTTTTGTTTTATGATAAAACAAAAACCTCTAAATATATTAAGTACTATATATAGATAA